AATCTGAAGCTCTTTCTGCCAACCTTTGACTCACGCTGCCGTCAACTGCTGGAGAATTTGGTTTGTTTTTTTGTCTTTGCTGCTGTTGTTCCTCACGTGGCACCTCTGACACCTGCACACCAAGCAGTTCAGGGTGCTGGTGCCAGGTCCCCCACTTAAACCATGTCCCCACGTGCCACATCTACACATTTTTTGAACGCTTCCAGGTATGGTTATTCCACCACTTCCCTGGGCAGCCTGTTCCAATGCCTGACCACCCTTTCAGTGAAGAAGCTTTTCCTAATACTCAATCTAAACCTCACCTGGTGTAACTTGAGCCCATTTCCTGCCTGCTGGTCTGTCTGAATATGGAAGTTCTTATGTCTTTGTCTTGTGGCTTCAATCTATAAGTCCCTTGTGGCCAGATTGCTACAACCTCTTTTCTTCTTGCTTCCATCTTTGGACCCATGCACCAGGGAAGAGTCAGTAGAAGAGTCCAGCCAAAGATCTGACCAACATTTTTTTGTCTGGAAAGGATTAGGGTAGGAAGGAAATACAGGAAAAGCCTTTTAATGGAAGCCCATAAACTCAGTCTGTCATATCTTCTCACATGCCAGCCTTCAGGATATCTGGGATGGTGATTTGTGCTGCTGTTCTTGGAAGCTGGGAGGCACTTGCACCGTTCAACACATATCAAGAGTTGTAAAACAAGTGGAAATGGCATAAATGATGTTACCTGACATGAAGATGAATATGAAACTTTCTGTCATCAGGTCTTTTAGGCCAGGGGGCTCTAAATGGCTCTGTAACTCACAATTTCTCCCTAGCAGTGCTGTAATTTTGTCTGAAGCAGCAGTTCAGCCCCCAGTCCCATCATCTCCCATTTCTCCCCTCTCTCATGTGGCTCTCTGCCTTCTTGGGAGGCAGCTCTCTGCTCTCTGCACTCTCATTTTCCTGATGTTGCCACTGCCACAATCCCCAAATTGTGATATCTCCCTACTGAGGCAAGAATAACCCCAAACTCCTTAGCTTCTCCATTTTGAGGGAATTCATTCGTGCCAATCACTGTGCCTCTAGGAAAGCTCAATTTGCTAACTTACAACACAGTTTAATGTGTTTTAAATTCCACCTCCTGCCAGTTAGGATGTGATGGGAATGCCTTTCCAGTGCTGCCTGTGAGGGCAGTTATTGCTGTTCCTGGAGCACAGGCTTGCTTACTTTTCCACTCCATGGAGTGAAGCCAATAATTAATCAAGGAGAAGGAGACCATGGGGCTCATTGTCACAGAATACTGTTATGACTGTTTAAATGCTCAAAATGGGACAAGTCATTTTCATGAGTAACAGGAGTATTTAAATTTAAATTAAGGCTTATAAATTTAAGCTACCTTCCATTTACCAAGAGCCAGGTAAAGACCTGTGGAGGACAAATTACCCCTATGAGTCTTAGAAGTTTTTTTTCCTCAGGCTTTGAGATAAGTATGACAATGTTGGCTTTGCCCTCTCACCAAACATTAGCTGGGCTGTAGGTCACCTGTTGCTGACTAGTTTTGTTGCTGAGTTTGGGACATGTCCTTCATTCACTGGTCACCTCATACTCCAGCCTGGCTGCACAGATAAACTCTAGACACAGGTTAAGCTCCTGAGCCCTGCAGAGCAGTCATATGTGAATAGTGCCTGAATGAGGGAACCATCACCTCAGTCAGGATCCCTCCAGATGCTTTGCACATGCTAAATTACAATAATACCACCCACCAGGAGTGCCTGAAAATGAGAGCAGCTTTCTCAGGTGGCTGCCAAGAGATTGTTCCCTTGTTACACCGAGTTAACTGCAGCCCTGCACTGCTGTGCCCTGCAGCCTCCACACACTCCATTATCCTGCTGTTCCTCCCTCCCCTGTGCAAACCTGACACAGTCATTTCTCAAGCTTTCCCTGCCCTTGGCTATGAATTGCATTACTGCCACTGTGATTTCTGTGCTGGTAGTAGTTAGGAGACAGAAACAAGCAGAAACCATGGGCTCTGGGCTCTTTATAAACAAAAGCAAGCTCTGAGTCTCCAGTTGGGACTCTTACTGAAAGAAAAAAAGAAAAGGAAAAACAAAAGAAGTGAAAAGGTTAAAACCATTCTGTGCCTATGGTCACGTCACTGTCTGAGCTGTTTAGGAAAGTCTGTGGCACTTTTGGACAAGTCTCTCAGCCCCTTCTCCATGGCTCTGTTAGTCCCAAAGACTAAAGATTTTTAGCAGGTGAAAACACCTCTTTACCATCTGAGCCACACACAGAGTGTCTCCAGAAGGGAATGAGGTGATGGTGTGAGGTTGCTGGTATCCAAAATGTGGTTTTTGATGAAGGCAGTGGGATATGGGAGCCAACTGCCCCTATTTCATGTCCAAAGCCAACGCTTCAGGCTTCATTTTGGTCCATTCCAGCTGCTGGCCACATTTATTCCTTACCTAATTTTACCCCAGGGACACACTTTCCCTCAACACATGTGGCTTTTTGAAAACAAGCAGTTTTGATCACAATTATCTGTAAAGATTGGAGGTTCCCAGTACAGGCCAGACCCTCTTGCTCTGTGTCCTCCACAGACATCACTAAAAGGTTGAAGGATGCAGACTGAGGGGCAAAGAAGAAAAACCAGTGGGAACCAACAAGTAGTAAAGAGGGCAAAGATAATGTAGCCAATAGATAGAAACATAGGATCATTAAGGTCAGAAAAGACCTTTGAGACCATCAAGTCCACTGAGTTTTTCTTAAGATACAGAAGAAAATGTGGTTTTGATGAGTGGGACACTTCTGCAGGGAAAAACTTTGTTTATGAACTGAACCAAAAAGTCTACAGCTATTTATCTGATCCTGTTTGCCTCTGTGTCCAGTCCAATGTCCTGCCGTAAATCCTCTGGGAATAAGATTTCCTCTAGCCAGATTTAGTGAGGCTCCAGCATATGGGATGATTAAACTACATCCAAATGGACACCTGCAGCAAGGGATTTTTTTCCCACTCCTTTATCTTATCTTTGTCAAGAAATACATTCAGCTGGCAAGTGTGCTGGATCTGTTTTGTTCTTAGAGCTCTCAAAAGCAATTAATTTCATGTCAGTAACTCCACAGTTTGACCTGAATCTCCTTAGTTTTAGTCCCCTGCCTCCCTCTCCCCCTACAAGCAATGTTTCAAATTCATCCCATTATCTGCTAATCCTTAACCTAAATAAAATGTGTAAGTGAAGAGCAGCTGCAGGACATTTATGTGCAGAATGATCAAGAGAGTGAGGACCTTATTAACATGTTTCGAAGCCTGCCCAGAGCCACATGGATTCCTGGGGTTCAACATGAGCAGTAATTCTTTGCCTCATTTCTTTGAAAGCCGAACTGTGAGCCTTCATTTTGTTAGAAGTGAAATTTTCAAAGTGAGACTCGTGTCTGACGTGCTCCCTGGAAGCACAGGTTACACCAAGAGCATCGTTTTGGGGGTTTGTAGCTTAAATAAAAGAGAATGAATCTGAGCAGCTGGAGATTTGTTTTCCAAATTGACTCTAGTCATGAGTCACCGAGGCTCTGAAAACCAAATACCAATTTCATACTTGCTGAGTTGTTACACTCAGAGACTATTTTAACGTTGACTTAGTAGGGTTATACCTCTGAGCATCTCTCTGTAAGTATCTCAGATGTGTCTTCTACTTATTTTTTTGCTGGATTGCCTGAAATCTCTGAGGCTGAAGGACATAATAGAACTGCTTCTAGCCCAGAGACTGACTAATTTAGTCCTGGGAAAAGTGCAAAAAGTGTTTTATGATAGGAAAATAGTGTTTGTTATTAAGAAAACTGGCTTGTTTGTCATGCAAAAGACCTGAGGCAACAGCAGAGTTGGTTAGTGGGTTGTGCCTCTCTTTTTGCTGTCACTGGGGTGAGCTGCAGTCAGTTCCAGTTGAGCAGGTTTTAGAACACCACTTTCTGTGTCCCATGTTATCTGACAACTTCCTTGGCAAGCAGAAAGACTGATACAGCAAATGCTGAATCCCAGGAAATGCACTGGCTGTTTGAACCCTTGGGGAGGTGATTTTCATAACTGGAGTGTTTTTCCTTTAGCTGAGAAAAGATCATTTAACTGAAGACTCTGCAACTGCAACGCTGCAACTTGGCACTTGCCTTCCTTTACCATTTCACAAAGAGTGAGAGGGGAAATGCTCTGGTCTTGAATGACTGAATCTGTAACGATAACTCTGTCTCACTTCAGTGATACTTTGGTTTCTGACATCCTCATCATGCATTGGCTGCTTCCTGGAGCCATTTCCAGCTGCAAACACTAAGATGTCCCCTCTTTTGTTTTATGGCACTGTGTCCCAGCTTACTGTAGCTCTTATTTTATATTGTGCTCATATGTTACATTGTGTTTGAATGGGAGCTGGAGAGGGACTAAAACTAGATAAAAATATTTTTTAATGAAGGAGGATGTGCAGCTCTACCTTGTTTTAGAAAGCTTATAGAGCCAACTAAGCCCAGGACTGAAACCAGGTAGTCTGTGCTCTCCTATTGCATTAACTTTGAACCTCGCACAGGGGAGCCTGTTCAAGAACAAACCAAATGTAAACTATTCCAGCTTTGCCACTCCAGTGCAAATATTTGCCACCAAATGTCCTTTTGTGAGCAATTCAGCAGCCTCCAGTGCAGCCTGGTGGTTCAGGGGCTGTTCCATCAACTCGAGTTGTTCTAGGGATGGAGGGGAGCAAAACCAATAACCAAGGATTAAGTGAGCATTTGAATATTTGATTTTTTTTCCCACTGATCTTTGTTTCATCTGCTTGAATTGATTCTTGTCAAAGGGAGCTCCTTGTGTTATCAAGACAAATTGTGTACATGGCTTTGCAAGAACAGTTGAATCTCCTGTTTCATGCTGTGAGAGAGGGACGGCAGGGGGATAAAGCAGGAGGAATTTTACAAGTGACCAGAACTAACTTATTTTATATAGTTATTAATGTGGATATCCACTGTGTGTGTTGATTTAAATGCATTTCTCTGTTTAGGAGTATCCGATGCCTGAGGAATATTATCCACTGGAATTTGATCACCACATTCATCCTGAGGAACGTGATGTGGTTTCTGCTCCAAATGATAGATCACAACATCCATGAAAGCAATGAAGTAAGTGCTTGGAGGCAGCATCTCTCTGCCATGGACTTTGGGAGCAGGCAGGGGCTCTGACTTTGTTCAGCTGATAGAAATATTACCAAGGACACTTATCCACAGGCTCAGAGTGGCTTTCATGCAACTTGAATAAGATGATGAAAATTAAAATGAGCTTAGATTTCCTAAATTTCCATTGATTTCCTCATTACTGAATATCAAAGGGGATTTTTAAAGTAAAAATCCTGCCAAAAAGCTTCTCTCATCTCTTCATTGACCAGAGATGCTTTCCAAATGTATATATTTGGAGACATAATATTGTGCAAGACACTAAACGTGGTGGTTCCTGACCATTTTTGTCAGAGCATCCTGCAGTGATTTGCACCTGTGTAGGGAAAAAATTCATGCCAGAGGGCAACAACTCCATGAACAGGGACAGAAATAATTGATTTGGCTGTTGAGGCTCTGAGTCAGGTACTTTTTCTGATGACCGTGGGACTCCCAAAAAATGAGAAATGGGGCCTGAAACAGCACAATTTTTGTTGTTGATATATTTGTGGGGGTTTTTTTACAAAATTCCATTTTTCTGCTAATCCCTTCTTCACCACACTGGCCTTGAGGATGAAGTTCTGGGATATGGGCTGCATCCTGCAGCAGCTGCTTGTCACTGGAAGGGGTGGCTCATTCCTCCAAGGACCCAAACACTTCAGCTCCTGCTGCTTCCTTTGCACTCCCTCTGTTCCTTTTCTTGACCCCTTGGGGAGGACTGAACTCTTGGGAACTGAACTCATTAAACTGGCAGAGAACTAACCCAGGCATCAGAAAAGCAAGGAGGAGTTTCCTGCTGGCACAGCTAAGTCAGCTTTCTGATGGGTGGTTGGGAGCCTGAAACAGTTCAAGGGGCCAAACAGACCCACACAATAAAAAAATGGGAAGGCTGGAGGCAGAAATAAGTGGGGCATCTTCTCTGCATGGCACTGAGCACTTGAGAAATGCAGCATCGTGGTCACCATGCTCTCATTTCTCTCACTCCCCGTGTTATTTCTTGTTCACTCAAGTCACTCCCAACTGCAGATGCTTCTCTGAGTGAATCAATCCCTGTGTAAGTACAGTAATCACAGAATGATGGAATGGTTTGGGTTGGAAGGAGCCTTAAACATCAATAGTTCCCACCCCCTGCCATGAGCAGGGGCACCTTCCACTATCCTGGGTTGCTCCAAGCCCTGTCCAACCTGGCCTTGGACACTTCCAGGGATGGGGCAGCCACAGCTTCTCTGGGCAACCTGTGCCAGGGCCCCACCCTCACAGGAAATAATTTCTTTCTAAGATCTAATCATTCCCCCTTATAGTTTGAAGCCATGACCCCTTGTCCTATCAAAGACATCAAGGTTGACTCCTCTCCCTCTTTAGTCACTCAGCAGCCCCAGCAGTACAAGGATTTCAGAGTGGAATGAAAACATCCACTCCAAAAAAAAAAAAGCATTTTTCTTTACTTTCTTGGAGAACAGCTCTACATTTCCTTGAAAATTAGTCCTTTTTGATGGTCCCTTGGTAGGGTAGTTTACTGTTCTCTTTCCCTGGTAATAATCTTATAGTTGGGTATTCTCCTTTTGGGGATGTCCCCTGATATTTAGCTCCATAACTAAGAAGAAAGTGTACTACAAACACATATTCACATACACACACACACACCCCGTTTATAGTCTCTGTCTTTGGAAAGCAGATGGACTAAAATGCCTGTAGACTGTGAGCTGGATCCACATCTGCTATCAATCATGGCTCCACTGGCCCTGTAGGAATGGAAAACCACCCCAGGAGCCTGGATATCCATTCATTTGAATGTCAGCTGGGCACACTCAGCATCCTTAATTAACGTTTCAAATGTAAGATTTGACGTCTCAACTTCAATCCCATTCTTTGGGAAAACAAATAGAAAAATCATTAGTACCTAGATAAGGAGGAAGTCTGTGAATAAATCTCTATTATTATTCATTCAGAGGCTCCTTTGAGAAAAATGTAGCTTCTATTAATTCAGTGTTTGCTTTGTCTGTGTTTCTGACATTCTCATACTCCAGAAGATGGTGGTGTGGGAGCTTTAGGGACTTACTCTGTGACTTACTTACTGAGTGACTTACCCTCATGACAATGCTGCAAATCTTAATACAGATTTTTACAGTTATTTAGGAAAAATCTGTTGGAGTCAGGCATTCAAGTGCCTTTAAAAATGCAACCACAAATTGCCAAGGAAAATAAAACCCTGCAAGTATTAAGGACATGCCCCAGTTTTCATTAACTTATCTTTTCTCTGCAGTCTTTTTGGTGCTTTGTGCAAGTCTGAGTGATAACTTTATATTTTTGTGGTATAACAAAATAACGCCACGAAAATCAATGGGAATAACATCTTTTATGCTGGCTAATAATGTGATCTGTTCTGTGCTGATCAGTGGAGATTAAATAACACAGGCACAGAAGCATCAAGAGTTCAACATCGAAATATTTTGCATGAAATTATAGTGCTTGTAAATAAATCAAGAAGGGGAATTGTTGAATATATCTGCAGCGGGATGGTTGATACATGTGGGGATCAAGAATCCTCAGTCAAATAAACAAAATTAGTGAGTTCAGCAAATTGGGTTTATTATTCAGTAGTAATAAATCCACAGTTCCAAAAGGGAATTGCTTAAAATTTATTTTATTTTGGTCTGCTACGGAAATGTTGCAGAAGGAGGTTTCCCCACCACTGTGTCTGTTGTCTGTATCTGTCCCAGTATCTTCCCAATCCAGTTCCACTCAGTTCCGACACAAGAACAACAGGCTCAGATATAATTATTTTTTCCAATTCTTCAGAAAATGGGCAGCTCTGGAAAGGACAAAAACTGTGTAAATTTTGTAAGTGAGGGAGAGAAGTGAACAAGAGTGGAGACACTCTATCAGAGCATTTCCATGGGATTGAGGCCACAGGGAAAGATTTAATTCGTGCTCATACCTTCAAGAAATCAAATGTGAGAGTTAAGTCTTACTACTTTGGGGGTCAACCAGTAATGGAAGCAAAATATTTGGTTTTTTTAGCGAAAGAAAAATGTTCATTTGTTTATTTGTTTGTTTGTTTATGGCTTAATTTTCCTTTACTCAAGCCAAAATGGGAAGGAAAAAAAAATTTGGTTTAAACAAAATGTTGAAAACAGAATGGTTTCTCTTTTTCTGAATTGTTTTGGGTTTTAATCCTATTTTAAAGATGGAGCCAAGCCAAATTTGAAATATTAATGAAATAATACAGGAATGAAAGCTTTAACACATCAAAAAGATTTTTTTATTTCCATTCAATAAACAAATTCGCAATTTGTGAGTGAGCTGTTGCTTTGTAACTGTGTTTCTTGCCCAATAAATTCTTAGTCTCCAGAATTATGCTGGGCTTGATGGTGCACCTGCTGCTCTGTTGACTGCCTGGAGCCCTCATGCATATGAGGGCTGAAATAAAATCAGCTGAGGATCAAAAGTTGCAAATACTCCAGTAGAGTTAATTAAAAGTCTCAAGAATGGTGAGACCAAAATGCCACCAGTGGTGGCAGTGAACACAGGTAATTAGTGTCCTGCTCAGTGTGTGCCTGGTCACAGAGACATTTTCCCAGACCTCTGTGTGAGCTCTGTGGAAATTGCCATCGGTTCCTTGTGATTTATTGATGGGATATTACCTCCTGGAGCCTCTCTGGAGCTCATTGTGATTCCACAGCTGTGCTCTCACTGCACGTTCATTTGGAGGAAATGCCTGTGTTTATGCAATGAGCCTGACCAAAAATTCCTGTTGGGTTTAAGGCAAAATTCAGAGGTGAAGTGTGATGTGATGTGATGTGACTTACAGAATGAAGCACAAATGGCAGGAATAGAGGAGATAAAGTAACTGATAAAAACATACCTTTAAAGCACCTTTTTTTTTTTTTTTGCCTAAATGTTAATGGTGCTCCTTCCTTCAGTGGAAAGGAAGCAGGACTGTGACATTAATGTCTACCTTGTATTTGAATTGCTCAGCAGGTGAGTTATCCTGCCTCAGATATGCAGATATTTAGATATTTAGACTCATGTCATCTTTAGATAAGACCCTAAGGATATGGCTGTGCCTCTGGAAGATCATCTGTGTTCAAATGAGCTGCTCCTCTTGTGTCCTCGCACTGCTTGGAGGCTGCTGGTGTGGCTTTGCCTTTGGCATGTTAACTTTCCACACATGTTTAGATACAGGAATTCCTGCATATCATGGTCAAAGCAGCCTGAGCAGACAGTCACAGATGTAGCTGTGAGTTCCCAACAGCACCCAAGATATTGTGATTCCAAGTCACAGGGAAAATCTGTGTCCCATGAGTAAAATCTCCCATTGATTTTTATGGGGATTACAACATACAGAATCTTATAAATGTTCTCACTATAATTTTAAAATACTCTCTTCTGTTTCCTCTCCAGCCCTGGTGTCGATGTATTACCACTGTCTACAATTATTTTGTGGTGACCAACTTCTTCTGGATGTTTGTGGAAGGCTGCTACTTGCACACTGCTATAGTGATGACTTACTCCACGGATAAGTTGAGGAAATGGGTCTTTCTCTTCATTGGATGGTGTAAGTGACTTCCATGGTTAAAATGGTGTTATCTGATGGTACCTGACATTAAAGTGTTAAAGACAAGAGCAGCAAGAATAAACTTTAAAAATCCTGCTGGGGCAAAATCTGACATTCAGACCTAACTGTGTCAAAACAATGTGAGATCAGGTTTAGTTCTTCACTGTGGTGATGACATAAAGCTAATAGGTTATCACCGGATTTGGCTTCATCCTCAAGGACCTGGTGTTCAGGAAAGAAAGAGAACTCCCAGGCTCAGCCTTTTGGGAAGTCAGTAGTCCATACCACATCCCTTTCAGACCACATCCCTTTCACTTCAATCAGCAAAGCAGTGACCACAACCCCTCACACACTGCTGTTCAACGCAGCATGAAGCAGAAGAGGCACTGTCCATGCCCAGTGGAACACTTAGTCTCAAGAGACACTCCTAAGTGGGGAGCTGACTAGAAGAGAAGCCTAATTATCTACCAGTCCAGCCTCACAGCTGTCTTTTGGACTGCTGAGGAATTTGTTCCTAGAAAACAGCTTTTAACAAAGAGTCCCCATGTCATCTCTGTACTGTCCCTGTGGCAACTCAGACTCAGCTTTGGTAAGGCTGCCTTAGGGATACTGTGGTCAGTTATGGTCTCTTAGGTCGAAAAGTGATGTGGAAAAACTGGAGATTATCCAGTAAAAGACTATCAAGATGTTTAGGGGTCTAGAAGACATGACATGTGAAGTGAGGCTGAAGGAGCTGAGCCTGTTCAGTCTGGCAAAGAGGCAGCTAAGGAAGGATCTGTGAGGTACCAAGAATGATTTGAAAGATAATTACAAAAATGAGGGAGCCAAGTTCTTCTTGGTATTGCAGATTTTATAAGAAGGGACAACGTCCACGAATACCAGACTGAGAGGTTCCAGCTGGACGTTAAGAAAACAGAAAATGTACCAAAAAGTGGTGCAACTTGAACAGATAACTTCAAAGCTGTGAAATCTCTGACCCTGGGGGTATTGAAAATTCATCAAGGCCGAGACCAAGCTGGAGTGGGTCAGCGCTGATAGTTCTGCCTAGAGCAGATAATTGTAGTGGGTACATTCAGAGGTCCTTTCCAACCAACATCTCCATGTTTTGAACTTTGACAGGAGATGTTTGGCAAGACAAGCCCTGTGCAGGCAGCTCGTTCACTTGAAGGCAGAATCTGAGGTCAGACAGAGCTAGTGGATTTGGCAGTTCTTCTCTGTTGAAAGAAGAAAGGTGGAAAAAAGTCACCAATATTTTCTGTTCTGAAAGTAGGAAGATGTTTTGTTCGGAAAATGCCTCTCGCTCTCAGAATTGTGCAGAAGTAATTGAATTGCAGTTCTGAGGGCAGAAACAGCCTTTGAGACAAAATACGTCATTCAATCCAAAATAAAATGGGAGGAAAAGGAGCTGTAGGAGAAAAAAAAAATGTTTATGTGGGGAATTGATTCAATATTTTTTTGCCCAGTATTTTTGAATTCTGTCACCCAACTGGAAAATCAGCTGCTTACACAGCCCTCACAGATTCACAGACTGGTTTGATCCATGGTATTTTCCTTCCCTACCTCTCTCAGAGTCCTACTAATGCAGGAATGGTGTGGGCTGAATATACCCTTTCTCTCACCCTTCTGGGCCCTTTCTGCCTCTGCTCTGCCTTCCCATAAACATTTTTTTACCTGTCTCATTCTCAAATCCCTGTTCTTCGTTTCACAAGGGAAAGTAAAATATTTTCCTCCAGAAGAAAGGATGTGGCTGCATTTTGTCTGCCCATGCCTAGCAAGAAAAGTGGGGGGAAAAGTGCACCAGACCCTGTGAGTCAGTGGTGAAAAAGGTGGAGGACAACACAGTCATTTGAAAGGCACGAGAGGTGAAAGAGGAAATGGAGAGGGAAAACTCTCCTCCTCCACTTTTGACATCAATCCAGTCCTCGTCTGGGTGAAAAAGTTCCTGTTTTCCCCAGGAGGTCTGTGTCAAAAGGCCAGTTCCATTTTTTCTCCCTCACTTCCAGTTTCCTCCTCCAGCAAATGCCCTCCAAGCCAGTTGGACTGTAAAGGCCCAACACAAAACAAACACAAGGGCAAAGCTCTGGACATGAGACTGGTATAAAATCAGAACTGGAAAGCAGAGGAAATGGCATTGCTGGGGCATTAAGTGTACAAATACACCTCATCTACTACACTGAGGAGCCTGACAGCAACACCTGCTGGGTACAACAGAAAGCAAACCCAAAAAACAGATCCATGGCTTTGACAAGAGCTCATACACACACACACACACACACACACACACACACACAGAGAGCACACTGCACATTGTAGGGAGTTGGATGATGTCTGTAAACTTAAGAGCAGCTGGATCCTTTAGAAGGGGGAAAAAATTAATTCTGATATTGCAAGATATCAAGATAATCTTTCTCATAATCCTATTTCATAGGGAAGACTGAACTCAAAAAGTTACTGAAAGTTTCAAAAATGTGCTTCAACCAAAGATCCCCGTAAGTTTCCAAGTTTCTTGGAGCCTGGGAAGCAAAAACCTAAACACCCACCCCCAAGAGCTGTCCTTAAGATTTTGCTGGAAAATTAAAAGTGACCAAAATTGCCTTTAAGTCAGACAAAATTGTTCTGGTCACTTCTATAGAAATGTGGGTATATATCTGTGTTTGTTAACATTTTTATTAACTTTTCTTACTGGTACTAAATTTTTGTTGAGATTATATTTTTATTTTTTTTTTAATTTATACATTAAGAGGTCTTAGCAATTGTGATGTCTCAAGGATACCAAGATAGGACCATTTGTACTTAGAGTCTTCCAGTTCATTAACTAAGTCTCTCCTCACACAAATCTGAATTTACTTTGGGATCATAGACGCATCCATCCGTCCATACATCCATGATTAACTCCTGGTTTTTTTCCTCCTGCAGGTATTCCTTGTCCAATCATCATTGCCTGGGCCATTGGCAAGCTATATTATGAAAATGAACAGTGAGTGATGTTAATATTTGTGTTGTTATATTAGTATATATGTGTAAATATGCAAGTTTCCTGCCTGTCATACCTGATTTCTTACACATGGGGATGGAGAACTGTTGTGCTCTAGGAAAAGTGTCCTTAAAGAGCTGTCAGCTCTGATCAGCTCCTTTTTCCAAGGACAGTTTCCCAGGGGATCTCATCCACTAGCTCTTTAAACAGCTCTCTTTAAACAGTTCCTCTTCCAAAGTTCTGGGTTCTGACTTTGCTCTTTGCCACAGAGTTTGTCCATTTGTCCTGACCACTGGGGAAATGATGTGCCATTGCCCCCTGAGGTCAGACCCAGCAAACTGGGCACATGCAGAAAACATGGACTCTTCTGCAGATTCCAAGACTCTTGGGGACAGCCCAAAATTTGGGACAAAATGGAGAAACTCCTTCATCTGAGTATCCACTTCAGCTGTAACTTAAGTTGTTTGGAGGTCGAACCGGGGTTCCAGTTGTGTAGCTCATCATTTGAGTTGAAAAGCTCAAACTAGCACTCAGGAAGAATGTTAAGAAAATGCTTCAATCAACTTCCTAATTTTTTTCATTTTTGTACTTAATAGAGATCGTTTTCTGCTTAGTGAGGCAACTTTAATTGGTACTGTGGCAAATATCCTGCCTGGGGTTTCGAAAAGTATGGCAACTCTGAAAAAAAGCACTGTTAAATCTCAATCAAAAAATCCCACAAAGGTGATTAAGGATTATTGTAGTAATTTCACTGATGGGCAGTTGTTAAGGGGAAGAACATCAATAAGATCTAATTAACAATAGTGATAAAACCAGTGGTGGGTTTGGTTATATTAAGAACTATCAGAGAACCGTGAAGAATATTAATTAGTTCTATTCAGTAGAAGTGTGTTTACATATCTCAGTCTTATCAGAACTGTCTTCCTAAATTGTCCCCTTCAATATTTAGGGAGTGTGTGTTTATTCTTCCAGAGGTAAAAAAAACCAAAAAAAAAAAAAAAAACAAACCAAAAAAAAAAACCAGGTTAAATGGCTTTTATTTCACACAGATGGAATGAAACTTCTGATGCACCAAGTAATTGTCAGTGATTTAAGTTTCTCTTTTTGGTTTTAAATAAATGTGCAGTGATGATTTTATTGCAGAAGTAGTGGCTTGTGTTGGATTTAAGGCAAGACTTCAGATGGCAGACAGTTTGCAATATCTCAGCCAAGGTCCCAGTTTGAACAGTTAGACTGTAAATATGAAATATTGCTAATCAAATGCAGACATATATAACCTCACTGGCAAATAACTGTCCTCTCACTGTTACTCACCAGATCTAATGGGTGTATTAGGAATATTTAGATTACAGTGTAACACATCTGCTTTACAGCCTAAAGACATGAACACCAACCTAAAAAGCTACCTGCCTTTTTTTTTTAACTCCCCTACCTACAAAAGGAATCAATAAAAGGAATCAGCTCCCCTGTAGAGGCCTGTGTTGTAGAACTCTTATCTTTGGCGATAACCTTGTTCCCTTAAACTGTGTGAAAGTGTGTAAATACACGAGGCTTCACTCAGTGCAACCTTGGTTTAATACTGGGCTCCAGAAAATAAATGTCAGCATTTTGGTCTTCAGGATGGTCTTCCAGCTAAATTTAAATTCCAAAGAACAGGGAGCAGTCTTTGCCCTGGAACCTCATCTGTGCTCTACCAGCTCTGTTCCAAATTCTTTGCTGACTTTTTCTAGCCCACTAAGTTCTGCCATATGCTTCAGTCTCCTTCTTATTAGTCCCCCTGCTAGAACCCTCTGCTGGAGCAGCCAGTTTCCCAGAAACTCCTCTTCTAATGGCTCTTGGTACCATGAGTTTCAGGCAATATAAAATAGTTCTCCCAAAATACCCTTCAAAATCTTCTCTCAAATGTAGGTCTTGCAAGTTATGGAGAATTATGTTTCCTGCCTTGGCATATCTTGTAATTCATTTTTCTTCAAATCTTTCCATCTACACAAGAATAAAAAGGCAGTTTCATTCATTTAAGGCTGCTCTGGGGATTCTTCTTGGATGATAACTTACTTGGAGGAAGTGCCTTATTCCAAGTCTTGCTCTCATTACCAAATCTTGGAAAATTAGTTGCAAAATTATACATTTACACTAATTTGCAGCCTGTGCACCAGGGAATAACAGACATGTTTTATATATCTAAAATATTCACAGCTCACTCATTCATTTGGAACTTAAAAGATGCAGGAATTGAGTCAAGAAAAGGCAAATAATTCACGGTTCTGAGTCACGTTTTTAGATACCAGCTACATATCTCAGCACTGCTGTCCAGTCAGAACATCTTGAAATGGGCACTCAGCTCCTTCTATTTTAGCAAACAACAGGTTTTGTAGAAAGGCTTTAAGGGCATGATGTGATCTGTAAGAATTCTTTCCTCATCTCAGTTTATTTGCCCTGAACTCTTGACATTGTGTCTTGCAGACAGTCACCTCTCTGAGGCAACGCATTTTCTGTCTGACTGCTTGTAAAAGTGAAAATCTGCCTCCCTGGTCTCCTTGGTTCAGGAATTACCCTTGTTTTCATGTCTCCAGTGGCACTAACTTACTGTTTGTCACAAGGCAAACACGAGAAAGGCATAATTTTTGCTGCGTAGACTTGTTATGTGGTATCCATGGCAGGGAAGAAAACTCTCAGACCCTTGAACTCCAAAATCTATTTGCTAAGGGATCTGGAGCTCCAATGATCTAGACCTTAAGGAATTACGAGAGTGAAGTTGTCTCTGCTTGGTGGAATTCTGGATCCAGACCACGTGGATGTGTCTGTAATACTAAATTAGCTGGGCCTGGGTTAATTCCTGGGGATGGAATTCAAACAGCATGGAGTAACTCACATCCATATTATTAAACCTTCTTGGCCTCAAAAATCAGGGTAGCTGCAGTTTGTGGACTATTGGGAGTGTTCTCTGGCTCGTGCTAGCTCCAGATTCATTACCCAAGAATAGTTTAGGGGTTGGATATTATTTGGCCTGCACCAAAGCTGCAGCAAGGAAAATGTAATGGTGTAAATGATTGAGTTCAGAGCTGAGCCCAGTTTCTAATTCATTTACCAGCATAAATACAACAGATTTGTTACTCTCAGTTAAGACAATGAAGTGAGTGACACTGTGGGTCACTGTGAAATCACAGGGTTAGTCTGTTGTGTAGCACAGCAGGGAGAAAATCACGTGGAATTAGTGGAAGTGGAAGTCAAGCCAGTGCTGAGTCACATGTGACACATCCAGGCTCTCTGCTGGTTTGAGGCCATTCAGTTCACCTGAGATTTCACTTCACCTGAGTCTATTTCCTCTTGATGATCCAAATACTTGGATCAGGTATTTGGTAGCTTCAAATGATGGCTCTGTACTGTCTGCTGGGTTTGGTGGTCATGGTATCATAGAATCACTAAAGTTGGAAAAGACCTCTAAGAAAAAGAAAATGTTGGAAAAGACCCTTCACCCAGAACTGCCAGGTCCACCACTAAACCATGTTTTTGAACACTTCTAGGAATGGTGACACTACCAGTGGAGTCCCCAGTGGTCCCAAGATTCATTCAAGGCCAATGGAATTACCTCTCATTCATCCAGTAGCTTATTTAGACAGCATTTCCATGCAATTTGAGACATATTTGCTATAAGCAGCAGCCACTTTGTGGAACGTGTTTCTGGGCACTGCAGCAGATAACAGCTGGAGGTTTTTTTCTTACACAGAATATTTCCTTAGTCCCTTTCTCAGACATCTCCTGCACCCTCCTTGTAGCAGGTTCTCACATTTCTTGGAAATATTTACTCAGGCAATTGCCAAAACCGTATGGGAACGTGAATGTTTTAATGGGAGGGGGAAACGGGGCTCAGATCTGTGTCCAACAGCAGGTGCTTTGTAGCAGAAAACTCATTTCCTTTCTGATTATTTATATATGATTAATCAATGCAGTGAATAAAGGAACACCTCTCTACAGTGTCCTTCCTATTACAGTCTAAAAGAAGTGAGTTTAACTTTATATATGATTTTCTTATTTGTTATGTTTCTTACAGATGCTGGTTTGGAAAAGAGCCAGGGAAATATATTGACTACATATATCAAGGGCCAGTGATTCTTGTCCTTCTGGTAAGTGTTTGTGTGGGTTCAAGGACACTGCCATCTCCCCTTGAGAGATAATTTGATAGGCATCTGCGAGGTTCCACATACTTTTATGTAAAATAAGACACAAACAAGGTCAAACATCTTCAGATGCTCTCTGAAGTTGCCACAGTAGCTAAAACTGCAAGTCAGAATTGAAGTGATCTGGCTTTCCTTGATCTCAGGCCATTCTTTGCTCCTCCCTAAGAAAAGCTGTTTGCCTTTGTACAATGTTTTGAGATGTAGGAAGGGAAAATGCTCAAAAACAGGAGGTACATCACAATGTCTGCTCATCCACTTGAGGTTCTTGACAACTAGAGCAATTCTGCCACGTACATTGTTTAGAAAAATATAATAATCGTGTCTGGGAATTACGTCTCCTCATACAGTCATCTCCATGTTCTACATCCCCATCACTGCTGTGTGTTTGTTTTTAGCTTTCCTGTTGTTGAGTTTCCTTTTCAGTTCCGCCCACACTTACCAGGCTGTTTATCTGTTTGCCCAACACTCTCTCCTGTGCCAAGCAAGAGTAGGCAGAGGAAGAAGGAAACTCATTCATAAACCACATTGAGCCTTCAGCTGAAGGGCCGTGGTGCTGAGTGTGGATGGAAAATATCAGTGCCATTGGAAAGGACAAGGCTGAAAAAGCCAATTCTGCTCTTGCAGGCAGATGTCACAACAGAGAATTCACAGGGCTTGGTGGCTTCCCCTCTCTTAGGGAACCAAGACTCACCACAGCTGTCCCTTTTGCCACTCTAATCCCCATGGAGAAGGTGCAAATGCTCCAGAACAGGCACCATTTCCAGCATCATGGTCTCACCTGGTCAGTGCTGTGTTCATGTGATTTTGGCATGAGAAAAGCTTCCCTGTTGCCTAGGAAGCCAACTACCACTCTGAATGTGTCCTGACATCAGGAGAGGTAACTTCTGTATTGTTCAGATGCTGCAAATGGATCACATAGTGCACACCTGAAAAGAGAGAGAAAAAAAAAAACCACACACATAGGAGGAGTCTGTTTTTATGTAAAAATTTTTTTCATTATGTTCTAAGGAGGGAAATAACAATTGGTGTGATATACACAAATATGTCACTAAGGGAGTCACCCCAAAAACACAAACAGCTTCATGGTGAATTGAATCACTGACACCAAGACTAACTCACAAATAAATCCTATTTGGACAACATGAGGTGGGAGGTTTGTGATACTCAGAGCATTTGGGTTTCACATCATTGCCTAGAAGTCTGTGAATCTCTGAACCCACCATAATCCCTTTAGTCCACAAGATCTGTAAAATCCTTGGGCAGCATCTCTAGCAGATACCGTAGGTAGCTTCATCATGAAAACGCCTTTCTTCTCCCCAGAACAGCACTTTAAAGAGCCCAAGGAGACCCAGGAAATGGAGGTACAGTTGGGGGCTGTCTCTATGTACAGATCATTATTATCTGCCTTTAATTTAGAATAGCCTTGAGACCCCTCTAAACTGAGCCTGTAGCTGAGGAGCCCTGACTTGACACTGTGTAATGAACCTTCCTACCTTGGCCTGCCTGCACTTGAGCTCTAATTAAGCCACTAATGAGATAACATCAGTAATTGCACTGTAGGGAGGGGGGGAAGCAGCTGATACAATTCAGAGAAGTAACAAAAGGGCAAGCCCTTCCTCCCTTCACCTTATAGTTAGTCCCATCAAAAAGCACTGCTGCAAGAGGAAAGGAGCTCTCTGGAAACAAAATCTAAAAGGCAAATTTGAAAATTCCTCTTATGTGCCCTCTCCCCTTCTTTTTTGAGCTGTCAGATGAGTTTTGTGTTTAATTAAAACACACAACCCCACAGAGTCTTAGAGCAACTTGACAGGCTCATTTTTTGATCCTTATGTGAATAAATTCAAATTCTATATAACTATTCAAGCATCATTTATTTTATTGGAGTTATTGACCTTTTCAAGGGTGCTGTGAAAAGTGATGGATTAAGAGCACTGAAATTTGACTTCTGCCATGTTCTCAGGGCAACAAAGTCAAGCATCACCACCCTCATATGTGATTATGTCTCTGCCTGATCATAGATGGGGACAAAGTGCTGCTTTCTTCTTCCCTTCAGTGAACAATGGTCACCAAAAATGGAAAACACAAAGATTTCAAAAATAGTGCACGTCTGTGACCTCTTTCAGTCACAGCTCATGAGCTTAACTTGAATTAATGAAGAATTGAAATAGAGTTGAAGCTGAAATTCATGTTTTGTGAAGGAACATATACAACAGGACATAGTCCTGATGGGACAAGGGATAACGACTTTAAGCTGATGGAAGGTAGATTTATAGTAGATACTTAGGAAGAAATTCTTCCCTGTGAGGATGGTGAGGCCCTGGCACAGGTTGCCCAGAGAAGCTGTGGCTGCCCCATCCCTGCAAGTGTCCAGGGCCAGGTTGGACAGGGCTTGGAGCAACCTGGGCTAGTGGAAGGTGTCCCTGCCCATGGCAGGGGGTTGGAACAAGATGATTTCAAAGATCCCTTCCAACCCAAACCATTCTGTGATTCTATGGCAATTCTGTGAGAGAACTATCCCATGGTGCTGCTGGAAAGATAAAAAGAACGTTACTAGGAGAAATTAATGTTATTTGCAAAAGGGTGCTCACACTAAAAACTAAAAGTCTAAAAACTCCATGAAATTACAGTTCCTGTCCACATGTGAGCATTCAGGCTGGGACAGTTAAAATTGGCTTCACCCACTGGATTGAAGAGCCAAGAGCCCAATGTCCAGCTCAGATGAGTTTTGGTTACCTCTTGGACACATCATGTGTATTCCAGCAGCATCGTTATACCAGCCAGTAAAATTATGATTAGAGTGCTCTTGTTAAATATTCTTAGTCCCAGAGGGATAAAACCTGCTTCTAAAGATGCAGAGTCTCTTCAAAAGATTTTTTTTTTAAGGATATTTTTCTGGCAAAAATTATTTCCACTGGTTTTAGATTTCTCATTTTCTTGCCTCTGTGCATTGAGTGGCTACACCACAGGACGAGGTGACATGAGGAACAGGTCATGCAGGAATTCTGAGCCTCATGGGGAAGAAAGATTGGTCTAAGCAAAGCCCTTTGAGCGTGGTAGCAATCCTCAAGTCCATCTTTAAACCACATTATTGTGTTATATCTCGGTTACAAAAACTTTGAGCAATGAAGTCAAGAGATTTGTTTGATTGATTTCCTGCTTATCTATAGAAGGAACCTGAAGATTGTCTCGGGCAGAAAACAGGGAAACGATTTCAGACACAATCTCAGACTATTTCAGAAGCAAAGGAAAATAAGTGCTGATCCCACATATTGGGTGAGAAACCTGTATTTTTATCAACAAAAAATGTGAGGGAGAAAATGTAGGTGATCATCCTTCTCTGTTTCATTGCTGAATGGATTTTGGCTTGAACATATCCCCCAAGAGATCTAATAATCCAGTTCATTGGTTGCTTTGAAATTCAATTTCTGATAACATTTCCTATACCTAAATACCTCTGTTAGGTATTTGCTCTTCAAATTAGTGATTTTTTTTTTTTTTAATTCTGATCTCTTTCCTCAGAGTCACATAACCGAGTTTTAATCACACACTCCTCTCTGAAGGTAAAGAATGGGCAAAAGTTTGGAAATATATGCCAGAGAAGTGAATTTCATCCTGATTTTATTAAGGAAAATACATTCCTTATGTTCAATTTTAAATGTAAATGCTGCCAAAGAAACTGGTGAACATAAAAATACAATAGGATCAGAGGAGACCGGAGGACAAAACTCAGAAAAGAGGCACCAGGGGCAGTTAACTGAGTTGCTTTCATTCACAGTGACTTCTGTTGTGAAGTGACCCCAGCTAGGAACTGCTCTGCAGTATTTCTCAGAGCGAAAATTGTATCAATATTCTGTTGTTCAAACAGGCAGATCAAATATTTCTTTTTTTTTCCAAACCTTATATTCGGCTTTAATAGATTTTTTTTTTTTTTCTCTTGTGCTTGGGAACTGAACAGTTTTCTGACCTCTGCTTTTCTTGTGCCTGGTTGAAAATAATTCCCCACAATCAATTAGCTGCTGGAATAAGAGGGTGGACTAGCTGATGGGAAGATCTGGAGTCCACTTCTGCCTGTGCCTGCATCAGCTGTTTCCTCTTGAACAAGTTAGATTGCTGCTCAAAGCTCGGTTTCCCCCAGCTCTAAAGCAAACTTAATGATACTTATCTTCTTTGCTTTGAGATTCCTGGGTGACAAGTGCTTTAGAGGAGTTAAGAGTCCTTAGGAAGATGGGCTTGTCCTTGTTGCAGTGTGGGATTTTGTTCAGGAGAGGGCTGACACATGCACCCAAGTGGTCTTTATGATGTTCTAATCATTCACCAAGTAGCATTTTTGTGGTGGCAAGATCAAAGCTTGCCCCAGTGCTCAAGGTGTGAACACACCAATGGATTTTTACAGCAGCATCCCGTTCTCTGGTTTATTTTCTTTTACTTTCTCAGTAATTCCAATTTTTTTTTGTTTGTTTGCTTTCTTTCACTGGGAGCTTGAGATAAAGTTTTTCAGGGAGCCAGCTAATGTAATCCCAACATTTGTTTTGTGAATGAAAATGCCCAGAGCTCATGACTCTCCATGGTAAAGTTAAGATTGTTTTCTTCCCCCACAGCGTTACCCTTGTATCAAGTGATTTATGTGCCATGTTATTGCCTGATCACTTAGTGCTGTGAGTCCCTGTACAGCTCTTTGCAATCAGGCTTTATTTGAGCTGTTCTGAGTAGTTTGATGTCACTAAAGATCTATCAGCCTGTTCTTCGTTCCCGTTTATAGATGCGTGTAAAATAGCACAGATATGCGGGTAGCCTCTGTCCATTGATAAAATAGAAATTATATGTGTGTATATATGTGTGTATATATATATATTTATATTTATATTTATGTATTCCTACCCTTTTTCTCATGTATTTTTATCCATAGTGCTCTTCCCTCCAAACCTCTAACGAGTTCAATGGGAACC